GACTCAACACATCAACAACAACCTTGTTAGCAATCAGGGCTTTAACAGATTGGTAACCGCACATTTGGGGGATGAATGCACCTAAGCAGTTAACCATTTCTATTATGCATTTGCTCGGCTGCTTGCGTCATCCCAGCTTTTCCTTATTTCCATTCGCAATTTCTTTTCTTTTTCTCTTCTCTCTTATTTTCTGCCTTTGCTTTCTTTTTGTTTTTATTCTCTCATTTCTCCCTCTTGTTTTGCCATTGTTTTCTTCTCTCGATTTCTTACTTTCCCTCTTTTTCTTTTCTTTTCCTCTCTTGTTTTTCCTCTCTTTTTCTTTTCCTTTTTGTATTTGGTTACGGTCGAATCCTATGGAGATTGCCTACGTATCATTACCCCGCATGAATCAGACCAAGCGTAGTTCTTGAAGATCAGGAATAAAGTAAACAAACTGACATTCTCTTTTTTCTTTTTCTTTTTTCTTTTACCTTGATGACTACTCTAATGAGAAAAGAGAAATAAAAGAAGCTATCCTTTTGAAACAAATACTCTATTAAGGAAAAACCCTAGAAGAGAAAAATATTTTTGATTTTTTTTTAGGAAGGAAGTAAATATGTTTCTTTTTTCTTCTATGTACAATGTCCTAAAGTTCTAATGAAAATAAAAGATTTTTTTTTATTTTCCATTAATTTTTCAAAGAAGAACCTCACAAGAAAATCTTTTTGGATTTTTGAAATTAATACCTTAAAGAAAACTCTTTAAAAAGGTACTAAAAGAAAATTCCTTTTTTTGAATTTTAGTCTTAATATACTAAAGGAAATATAAAAGCATTTTTTTTTTGATATTAATTGCCTAAAGGAAAAAAACCACCTCAAAGGAATTTTTTTTTCATTTCTAAAATTAGTATTCTAAAGAAAACCTAGAACGAAAATATAAAAACACAAAATTTCTCTCTCTATTGTTTTTGGATTTTTTGACTTGTAACACATCTCCAAATAGAAATAAGAATAACAAAAGACTAGGCAAACTCAACTAGACTTATTACAAACTCTGACATCACTTAAAAGACTGAATGCCACTATACAGGACTAAAAAGTAAAACATGAATAATTGACTCAAAAACATAAAATGGCCCCTCGAGCAGCTCCTGAATGCAGTGATCCTGGGGTATATGTCATGCTCAAACTCCGATAAGTAATTCGACACCTGTATGAGAAAACTTAAACCAACACTATGTCAGACAATAACATTCCCTACTAGACACATGCAAGACATGATTGAGGTTATTTTTGCAAAGTGGCTTATTTGGCCAAAAATGGCTGGAAGTGCAAAATTTGGCTAAGACCTCGCAAAGCCAAGAACCTAACATTTACTAGGAAGATCGGACCCTATGTGGGTTGCCTACGTATCACGCCCCGAAAGACGAGAATCAGGTATGCGTAGTTCGGGCAAATAAAACAAAACCAGCTATTTTTGAAAACAAAACCCTTTCCTTTTCTTCTTTTTTTCATTTTTCTCAAAAATTCGACAGAGTTTCAGTACCATTTGGACATTGGTTTTTCTATCAAAACAGGTGATTACCCCTCCCAGCCCTCACATTGCTATTTTCTTTCTCAAACTCTCCCCTTTTATTTAAAAAGTCGGTCAACATACAAATCCAAAGCAGATAAATGCACAACTAGTACGCATCAGGATGGTCTGTCATTTTGGGTACACCTGTCCTAGACGGACCCAACCCCTGTGTTGAGTCCCCCAAGTCAAATGCACATGATGCAGATAAGCGTTCCTACTAGGGATCCAGCATGAGGCTGAGTTATTCTAGGTTTAAAACCTGGGTTTATTTGTTCTAGACCTGGTCTACCCGAGCGGACAACTCGAGCCGAGGGGGGGCTGCGTACCGGTAACCAAAAGATCCTCCGGCTTTGCAACTTGTCCGAGCCTCGTCCTATTTGGGATATGACACTAACAGAAAAAAGTCACGACCAGCGTGCACTCCTCGGGAGGGAGAAGAGAAGGGTTTCATAGCAGTTTATATATACAGTTCAGATAATATCAAAGCGGTAAAAAGCAACATTTAGCATATTAGGCCCAAACATGTAATAAAATCAGACAATAGATAAAGCGAAATATAACAATTCATCTAAGCTCGAATTCTGAACCCTGAACCAGAGATTCTGGGTTTTTGTCGCAAGTAGAGTCGCCAGAGCTGTCACACCTCATTTTTCACTACACCCCCGGAAGGGTATAATAAAGGGAGTTTTTCCAATTTAAGGACAATCGAAACGGGATTTATTATAAAAAGATTCAGAGTCGCCACTTGGGAGATTTATGGTGTCCCAAGTCACCAGTTCAAATCCCGAATCGAGGAAAGGATTGACTCTGTTTAACAGTCTGCGAACCAAAAATTCGGGTAGGGAATTCTGTTAACCCGGGAGAAGGTGTTAGGCATTCCCGAGTTCCGTGGTTCTAGCACGGTCGCTCAACCGTTATAAATGGCTTAGTTATCTGATTTTAGAACATTTTGAACTATGTGCAAATTTTAAGTTTTAACCGCTTTTATTTTTTAGAGAAAATTGCAACGTTATTAAAATGCGTCTCAAACCACGTCACATAAATGCACCCGTGGCCTTTGACATATTTTAGCATCATTGAGATTTGGATTTGGGTCACATAAATGCGCACCCAAATTTAGGAAGGTAATATTATTAAACTAACGCGCCTAAAGCAATTTCGCGTTTGCAACATTGCGAGGGCCATGGAAATTCGCTAATGGCACACCTCGAATTCTAAAGGATAAACAAGATTGATTAAAACGAGGGCCATGCAATTGTCATTTTGTTTGGCATGGCGCACCCCAAATTTATTTTAAAGGGTATTTAAACTAAAAGCTCGGAGGGCCATAGACTATGTCTTACCTAGTATAGCTCACCCCCCCTATCATTTAAAGGGACCTTGATTAATTAACACTAAACATAGTTAAAGGTTCTATTTAAACTAACTAAAGGTTTACATGGAAAAGTCAATTATTAAGCAAAGGGCCTTGGCCAGGCATAAACAATCCAGTGGCCCAACGAGAAAGGAACGCTCAAGTCTCATTTGAATGAGACTGCCTCATTTGGGCCCAAGAATGAGCCCAATTACTCATAGACCTGCTGCTTCTGAGGGAGGGACTCAGCATCGAGTCTCCCCAGCATGAATGAACGCCTGAAGCGACGAATTTTAGGCACAAATTCATAAAGCCAACATGGAGACCAATACATGGGCAAATACACTTTGAAAGTCATTTTTGTGCTTATCAGTAGGCAGTTGTGTGACCTTTAAACAATGAAAGCAATGCAGGTTTTCAAGACAATTGACATCCCTATTTTAATGCCATAGCTATAAGCAAACTTTGCCTTCCAAATCTCCAAGTCAAGTTGAAATCAAATTTGCAGCCTTGAATCTTAAACAAGCTCGTATGAACAGAGCTTCATACAGTAACTAATAGCATTTCCATTTTTAGCTAACTAATACACAAATCATATTAAAAGCACCAACAAATTGCAACTAAAACCAAGCAAACTTCAAGATATATCAACCTAAAACTACGACTATGACTTTCAAGACTAAAACTGAGTGATTCTCAGCAGGAAATCCACAAAGCTAGAACCCGGATACAACACCAAACATAAACTTGAATAATTAAAGTCCATTGTTCAATTATGGACACAGATGCAAAATACCACACCAAGTCACTCTCATACACTCAATTTCAGAGAGAAGCAAGAGGCCCTAACTAATATCTATAACTTGAATTCTAACTACATAACATGAAACAGTAAAAGGAGAAAGGAAATTCAACTTCAAATAGAATCTTCATTTAACAAAACTTCAAATCTTTACATGCTCAACAATCAAGCCCCAATCATGAGCTAAGGAAATACCTGGGAAAGCAAAGTGAGAGGAAAAGAAAGGATCAATAGAGCGGGACAGTATCNGTAAAAGAGTTAAGTCTTATCCAAATAGTCATTCATTGTCTCAACATTTGATTGTTTTGCCATAAATATGAGTTATTATTTGCTTCCTGACTATTTTTTGGATCCAATGACACCGGCAAGAATGGTAGCAAAGAAGAAAAATAGAAGAAATGGTTAATTTTTTCCACGTAGTTAATATCCAATGATTATCTACATTTATTGAGAAAGTGTAAATTTTAAGATTATTTACATACAATCCAAATAACTTAAATATTTGACATGATTAGTGTCCGCGCATCCGCGCGGGTACTAATACTAGTTGTAATTTATAGCATATTGATCTCAAGTTAGCCATAGTTCGGCCCTTCAAGCCCTGTTCAGCTCATTATCCTATCAAAGATCATTCAATAAGAATTCTTTCTTCTCTGCTTTATTTTTATTATATTATCTCTCATTGAATTTATTTTTCACTTCTCTATCATGTTGTATTAACAAAATTTTATATCTTTCGGATTGAATCGGTTGCTTGTGACCCGTCATATAAAATTGTTGCTTAGACCTTGAAACTATTTTTTGGGTTAAACATCTCCAACTTTCGATATTTCAGCAAAAAAAATTGAGGCTCTAAAAAGTTCAAACTAGGAAAAATCAAAGGAGCTGTTTGTTTTTTTTTCGTATAGACCACCACACACTTGTTATTCCATGTCATCCATGATGTTGACATATGTACTTTAAGAAAACCAATGACACGATCTATTCTTGAAAATCACCCAAAAAAAAAAAGTTTAGCTAGAGATTTGACTAATTAATAAGACAAACGTCATTAAAACATATACTTACGGTACGAGAAGTTTTATTTTGTGTCTCATACAACTGACACTAATTATATGAGGCTCCTTTTTGTCTCACAAAATTGTGAATCCCAATCTTACATTTCTGGGTCCACGAAATTCTGGGTCCACAAAACTGTGAGACAAAAAGTTACCGCTGTATGAGACACAATAAAATTTTCCCTTACATTACATAGTGTATCTCTTACGTTTACCTAATCGGCTAACTCCAACTGATTACTAGAGGTATAGTGCAAAATTTGGACATTGAATTATAAATATTGTGGAAAAAACTAAGATGGGGTGTCCGCGGAAGGAGGAAACATGGAAATTCTAATTAAACAGAGGAGTGAATTGAATGTGCTTAATTTGAGCCTAAAGCCTTCCTGTTTCTGGGGATCTTTTCTTCCTTTGCCTGGACACTGTTATTTGCTTTCCTTTTCATTTACGACATGACATCAGATTCTTTTCCCTCTAAGCTCTATGATCTTTACGTTTTTAAACTCAATCCCATCCATGTTCTAACCCCAAAAACTAATTTGTCGATCGGGGTTTTGAGTTTCGAGAAGAAAGAAGTTGACAATTTCCGTAAGGATGAGGGCGCGATTGCTCTCTTTGACAGCAGTTTTTGTTCTGAGTTTCATAGGTACGTACATCTACTCTCGCCTTCTGCATTGACTTTCTGTGGCCCCAAACCATAGGCCAAGAGGACGATTTAAATTTAATAGATTCTTAAAAATAAATAGATTCAAAACTTAAATCTTTATACATTTTTCACACACACACATGTGGGTGTTATATGTATAGCCTACACAAATCTTTTTCTTCCGTGGTGTCCTATTTTAAGAGCCTCATATTAGTTTTGAGATTTATACAAAATATAGATAACTTCTAGTGACGAAATTTTAATATATTGGATTGAGATAAACCTAAATAGCTACATGAAAAATTAATAAGAATTTGTATAGTTGTTTGAAATTGAGGTGTAATTATTGTTCTTATCATAGGTTATTAAGATTTTCAACCAGGTAATATTTTCATTTAATGACCCTAGGCTATTTGTTTGTTTCTCTTCTGCAGCCGAAAAATGCAGGCAGTTGGTGGGAGAAGAATCAGCTTCAAGGAGCAAGACCGAAAGATTCACATTCATAAACTGCTTTGACATGAGTTACGGAACCATGGGCTGTTTACTCAAGGAATTAGTGAAGATCTATTTATACTACATTAGAGCAACTTACGTGCACAAAGTTAGGAATGAAGCAACAAAAGAAGCAGTCCAAGAAAACTTGTCCAGAGGACAAAGTCTTGAAGATGCAGTCAAAATAGGGCAGCAAGTGGGAAATGCAGCGGCCAAAAGAGCATCTTTACAAGCAAAACACATTATGGGGCCAATGGTTTCATCTGGATGGGATTTTTTTGAGACAATATATGTAGGTGGCACATTGGGTGAGGCAATTATTAGAAGTGTTGGTACATTATTGGGGTCTTTTATTGGAGGAATGATTGGAGAAGGGAAAACTAGGTGGTTGGGTTTTCTTTTGGGAAGCCAGTTTGGTAGCTGGATTGGTGGGAGGCTAGGCCTAATGTTGCATGATGTGGGAATTGGGCTGCATTATCTACAGCACCTCACGAGATCAACTAAGAGTGATGGAGAAAGCAACTCACTCTTGTTGGTTCCCAGCTAGTGAAAGACCTTCTCTCTGTATTAAAAGCCTGAATATTATTGCTTGTTAGTGCAACAATTTATTGCTTATAGCCTTGAACTTTGTAAAAAGTTTCACATTTCTTCAATTGAGTTGTAGCCTTGTGTAATTTGATGCATGCTACAATATGTGATATCAACGTAATTCCAAGCGTAAAGGTTAAGCGGATCATTAGGCAATAGTCACATGATTCTATAGTCTGTCTAATATTCATTTTTTCTTTCTTATTGTCTTTTCTAATTCAACTATGTTGCGAACGATCGTGGATTAACTAGCACACGATCACACACAAAGCAAATAGAGAAGAAAAATCAACACAAGGATTTAACGACATTCGGCTAAGGCTAATCCTCGGGGCAGAAGCAGAGAGAGTTTTTCACTATGAATGAGAAGAAAAGCACAATATAATCTCTAGAATCGCCAACTACAACCCCTATATATAGATCCCAAATAGTCCCAAACCAATAAGAGAAAGCTTTCCCAATTTGACAAGGACAATAGGTTTTCCTTCCACAAATCTATTAGGACAATGGGTTTTCCTAAACATATAGGGATTATGGGTTTCCTAAAAATAAGAGAAAATAATTCAAGCCACAAATAAAAAAAATCTTCCCCTTGGCTTGAATTCTCTTCATCAACGGGAACAATGTCTCTCTACCTTGCCCTCATCCCTCGCGAGGGCTCTACCCATTGCCGCACACATCAACCAAGTGTAGGCAACGCCTAAACTTGTTAAGTGACTCAATCTCTTTAGCCATAGAACTAATCAGCCGATTTGGTTCTATACTCGGCATAGCTTCTGGATAGCTATAACACTCAAACGCATCAACGGTCTTTACAACTGCCAAAGCAAGTCCCACAGGATTTGTATATCCAAGAAGATTCCCATAAATTACGTTTGCAAATCTTTGCGGTCGGTTGATCACTCTCTTCTGTCTACATGTTGTAATGATATATGGTTGTTGTTGCGCAGGTGCATCAATATTATCATCTTGATCAATATTTTGCACCTCCTCAACTTCCTCTACTTTAGAACTACTGGGCTGATATAGTGGAGATTCAATTTCTAGCTATATGCGGTCACTGACACCACGATCTGTTTCTGCTATTGCCTTCTCCCTCTGACTGTCCAGTGAGGCAGATTCATTGAATGTTACATCCCTACTGATAATTAGCCCTGGAGTCTTTTAATCTGTGCACCACAACCTATAACCTTTCACTCCAGTTGCATACCCTAGAAATATGCACTTCTTTGCCTTCAGCTCAAGTTTTCCATCCCCCACATGAGCATAAGCAGGACAACCAAATATCCTTAAATTTGAATAATCAGCAGGCGAACCGGACCATACCTCAAAAGGAGTTTTGAACTCAATATATGGATGGAGATCTGTTGACCAAATAACACGCTGTATTGATTGCTTCAGCCCAAAAATCCTTGCTAATACATGAGTGTGAAAGCATGCTTCGTGACCGATTACAAAGCGTTCTATTCATATGTTCTGCAACACTATTTTATTGTGGTGTTCCGACACAAGTCCGGTGTCTCACTATGCCTTCTCTACTGCAGAAATTATTGAACTCATAATTATAAAATTCCAACCCATTGTCAGTCCAAAGACGCTTAACTTTTCTTTCAGTCTGCCTCTCAACCATCGTCTTCCGTTTAACAAATATTGGAAATGCCTCATCTTTTATTTTCAGAAAACATACCCACACCATCTTTTGAGTAATCATCAATCAAAGTCTTAAAATACCTGGCACCACTCATGGAGGGAAATCTGTTTGGACCCCACAAGTCTGAATATATATAATCTAACTTGTCTCTGGTCTTGTGTTCGACCTTCTTGCTGAACTTTACCCTTGTGTGTTTACCAAACAACAATGCTCACAAAAAATTCAAAACTTGATTTTTGTACCCATTCAGCAAATTCTGCTTACTCAACAAAGACAATCCCTTACCACTCATATGACCAAGTCGCAAGTGCCACAACTGAGACTGATTCTGATCATTTTTTCCAGAAGCTACAACAGCTTCCCCATCAACTATACTGCATGACGATGATACAATTTAGAATGCAGTTTACCCTTCATGAGTACCATAGAGCCATTACACACTTTAAGTATTCCATTCTCGGAATGAAACTTATACCCTTGATCATCCAAAGTCGAAAGAGAAATCAAATTTCTCTTTATCGGAGGAACATACCAACACTCAATGTTTCTGATAACTCCATCGAACATTCTAAATGTGATTTTACCAATCCGCTCTACTGGTAGTGGAATCTCCCATGTAGACAGTCGCACTGATCTGCTTGTAAGTTGCAAACCAATTCTTGTGTGGACACATGTAGAAAGTAGCACCAGAATCAAGAACCAGGAATTCTGCCCATGACTAGAACTTACGGCATAGACTTCCCCTACATAATCACTATCATCAGAATTATTGCCAGTGTAAATAATATTTGCCGAATTATCTATTTTTTGCTTCCCTCTTTTCTCTTTCAGCTCGGGACAATCTCTCTTGTAGTGACCTCGCTCCCTACACTCATAACAGTTATGTTTTCTTGCTCTAGACTTCGAGCTAGCGGTTGACTTTTCCCTGTCAAAGTCCTTTTGTTGTGCTCTTCCTCTACTCACAAGACCCTCGCCCTCAGTTCTGCTGACTGGAAATCTCTTTTCCAACTCTTTAGATTTTAGCGCATTACTAACATCTTCCAGTGAAATGCTTCTTTCCTATATAGCAATGTATCGGCAAAAGTATCATAAGACGGTGATAAGTGTATTTTACTTGATTTTTAATATATAATTTTCTCTGTAAAAATAAAGAAACTATCATATTCTTCCCTAACTTTTAGTAAATTATGTACGAAAGATTGCAAAGCAAGTGATGCAGAATCAAGGAAGATTTTAAGAAATAGCGCATCAAAGGAGAAAAGTAAGCTCTGATGGAGTAAATAAACAAGGCAAAGAAGACAATCTACGAAGGGACTTTCATAATAGACCCATAACTGATCCATAACCAAGATCCATAATCAACTCATAACAAAACTCATAACCAAAGCATAACTAGTTATGGAGTGGTTATAAAATGGACGTCTCAGAAATTCGGAAAGGGCATCGAGAGAAGGAGAGCTCAGCAGATAACTGAATCCATTTCAGAGCTTTTCCTTTTCATTTCAGTCAGTTGTTCAGTTCTTTAAATTTCTGCCCAGTCATTACAGTGGCTTTTGTTTCTAGTTCCTAATAAATTTTCGCTTTGAAAATTACTCTATATCCTACTTTTAATTAAATAGGGGGAATTATTCTTTCTGAATATTTCTTACTATTTTCTTATCTAATGGACAAGAATATTTTCATTAGCAATACTAGCTCCAGTATGGAGTAACTTTTCTTGTGTTGGGGAAATGACGGATCTTAATATTTTTATATAATAGTAGATATTATTCTTCAATTTCACATGCTTGGGCTGAAGCTTTTTATTTAAATTTTATCTGCTTTATAGTTGGGTGTTATTTAATTTGTTAACATCTATCTATTTCGTACTATATATTAACTTCTTACTGATTCTGTAATCGAAAGAGGCGGAAGAAGTAATACTTAATTTTGGTATTGATAGATGTTAACCTATATTTAGTGACATCTAGCTCATATATGTTAAAATTGATTCTACACTTATTTGTAATCGAAAGAGGCGAATATTGTAGTAATCAGTTATAACAAGTAGGAAGACTATTATTATGTACTCTCCCTTGCCGGGATATTTGGGCTGTTAGCTGTACNGACAAATGCCAGAGAAGCGGTAACATTTCAAAAAGGGATGAGATGCCTCTTAACTCTATCCTTGTTTGTGAAATATTTGATGTTTGGGGCATTGATTTTATGGGTCCTTTTCCTCCTTCAAACAGCTGTGAATATATTTTAGTTACTATTGACTATGTTTCAAAATGGGTAGAAGCAATTGCTACGAAAAAATGATGCTCATATTGTTTGTACTTTTCTCAAGAAAAATATTTTTTCTAGATTTGGAACTCCACGAGTTATCATAAGTGATCAAGGAACTCATTTTATAAATAGACAATTTGCTAGTTTATTGTCAAGATATGGAGTTACTCATAAAACAGGAACTCCATATCATGCTCAAACAAGCGGACAAGTAGAAGTATCCAATAGAGAATTAAAAAGAGTTTTGGAAAAAACTGTTGGTTCTTCTCGAAAAGATTGGTCTTTAAAATTGGATGATGCGTTATGGGCATACAGAACTGCTTATAAAACTCCCATAGGCACATCTCCTTATAGACTAGTTTTTGGGAAAGCTTGTCATTTACCTGTAGAGTTAGAGCATAAAGCATATTGGGCTATAAGATTGTTGAATCTAAACTTACCAGATGCAGGTAAAAATCGTCTATTGCAGCTTGATGAGTTGGAAGAATTCAGACTTACAGAATACGAAAATGCTAAATTGTACAAGGAAAAGACAAAAAAGTGGCATGACAAGCTCATCCGCCATAAAGATTTTAAAGGTGGGAGATCATGTTCTGCTGTACAATAGCCGATTGAGATTATTCCCAGGAAAGTTTAAGTCACGCTGGACAGGACCATATATAGTAACAGGAGTGACCCCCTATGGTGCCATTGAAGTACAACATGCAGATGGGGGAGACAAATTCAAAGTAAACGGTCATCGTTTGAAGCCATATATCAGCAGATTCTTCGACAAACAGGCTTCAACAATCCTTTTTGCCTAATTTTAAAAATAAGTCGAGCTGGCGATATTAAACTCAGAACTATTTTCTTCCCCTCTCTTTAACCTTTTCAGTAATTATTAGTAGTAACATATAACATTTCCTTTTTAGTAAATATATATATAATTAAATTAGTTTTTCTTCTTATAAAAAAAAAGTTGAAAAATAATAATAATTGCATATTTGTATTATATTATATATATAGATGTGTATGTAGTAAGTATTAATATATTTTGCCATGATGAAAAAAAATACTCCCATGATTTAGACAATGAAAGGTTTCTCCTATCATGAAAAAGAATATTTCTTTGCTATAATCTTGTCTTTGTTATATGAGAGAAACTTTGAGAAGCCAAGAAAAAGGAAATGAGGCTAGAATCGGAAAAAATCAGGGAAGCTCCTTTATCTCCTTTTG